CTTTCTATAAAAGAAGCTTAAAGTGTATAGTTAAATCGTTACCTAGCTCAAATATATCTACTTATTACCTATCTTATCTATTACTTAGTNATCTAAAAACTACTCTTATTTATTCTTATATAAGCTATCTTTAAATAAAGAAAGTATCTTTTTAACCTTCGTACTATACTTTCTTTACAGTATAGCTATTATGTAGCTTATAAACTAGTAGACTATAGCTTATAGATTAGCTACTATTTTCGCCTAAATCTTAGTCTAGAATCTAAGATTTCTTAGTTCTTATAAGTAGTAAGTATCTATATCTACTTCTTTATTATTACTTCGAGTTAGTATCTTATTATTAAGTACTAGATTAGGTACTAGTCTAGGACTCTATACTAGTCTACTAGTACTAGCCTAAGATTAAGAGTAATTACAAGATATTCTAAATTTTAATTAAATATTCTATTATTAATCTTCTAATCTACTAAATTTATAGGTAGTTAAAGTATTATATAGAGTTAGGTACTAATACTTCTCTAAGCTTAATATAGATTAGAGTAAGTAAGATAGTATAAGAAGTGCTATAAGAGTTTATCTAGCAATACAGTAGAGAAGTATACTTAAATAGAAAATAACAAAAGTTTAATAACTACTAATCTATATTAAATAGACTAATAAATAATAATCTAATTAAGTAAAATAACTAGTAAGAAAGTATAATTTAAGTTAACTACTATAAAAGTAATAATAAAATCTATCTATCCTTATATCCTTATTACTTCTAGTCGTACTATTCTGTCTATTCTATCTTTCTACCTATTAGCGGGATATCTAGGATAGCATGCTATCCTTAAGTTTATTGCTATTCTATACTTGGTGGGATGTCCTGTCTTAGCGGGATAGCTTATCACGTGACCTCGAGCCCCGCGATGGTCATACCTGGTGGGATCCTTAGTAGTTTCCCAACCATTCATTGTCATACCCAGGAAGAGGATCCTTCTGCTTGTTGCTTGTAACATAATACTATATAATAGTACTAATTAGTAGAGTAGAGAATAGGTAGTTACGCATAGTTACTACTTACTGATTATAATCAATCTAAGAATTCTCTTATCTTAGAAACTGTACTTAGAAAGGCTGGACCTAAATATATATTTATATAGTTTGTAGAATATAAGTAAAGATAGAAGATATTGCTTTTAGTAAGAAATATATATGATTATAGGTAGAATCTAGATAATACTAAGCTTTTAGAGATATATAGTTCTTTTAAAATTAAAGTAGGGCGTTGCGAATATAAGTCCGCAACGCATCGGGCGTCCGCCATACCTGTCATCCGGGCATAGCTTTGGAGATCACGGCTGGAACCGAGTAGGACAAAATCAATTAATCAACCATCGCCTAAGCATTTGCTCCTGGACAACAGCGTTGGGCTTCTTTGTGGAGCATATGCTGGGTCTTGGTAAATTCTATCAATATTTCTGGAAAGCATGTACATGTGTGTGCAGTTTGCAAGTTTGGAATTGAACTATCAAAAAGCTATACAGTTAGCCAGTATGTATCCGCCTCTATAGAATTCCCCGGGTAACAAGCAAATTTCAAAAAAGGCGGTTTTTCGGATCAATACGCTGTGCTCACATGCTGTGATATCTGCCCCTCGTCCTCTACCTAATTTCATATGCTACGTCCTAGCTGGTAGCGTAAACGGCTCTCGCAATGGAAGGGAGGCAATTTCCCCTAGTTCGCGTTCGAAGAATTCGTTCAGGAACTTGTTGATCTGTTGATGCTCCAGCAAGAAGCCGTCGTGGCCTTCATTGCTGCTGATCGTCTTGAGCTGGGCTTTCGGGATTGCAGCCGATAATTCGCACTGTTCTCGGTACGTAAACAGGCCGTCATTGGGAATTCCAAGAATCAATGTCGGTTGCTGGATCATTTCCAATGCCTCTTTAGTTGTGCTGGTGCGATTGCGTGCGACATCATGGGTGTCAATTTTGCGCGTAATGGCAATGTAGCAGTTTGCATCGAAGCGCTTTACGAATTTTCCGCCTTGGTGACGTAGATAAGATTGCGCTGCATATATTGTGTCCGATTTGGTGCTTTCGCTCGCCTCGTGTTCTCGACTCTGATGGTTTCCATTCCGATGGACTGGGGTACGTGATACAATCTGATCTGATCGCAGAGTGCGAAGATGATTTATATGCTGTACGCGCTGCTTGTGGTCGATATTACCATTCGCATGCCTGCCATTGTTCTTTCGTCTGCCGAATCGATCTTCGAAGCTACTCCAGGAGCGGTATGTTAACAATGCGCTCATCCGTGCTGCCCCAAGCCCGCATACTGGAGGGTCGTCAAAGTCATAGTATCCACTGTCGTACTTCGAGTCCGAGAAAATGCTTTGTCTTTGTGCCTCGTTCCATCCTAAGCACCAACCTGACGAGTGCGCACACGATGCAATCGAGACGATTGTGCGTACGTATCTCTTTCCAAAGTAAGCAAATTCTAGAGCATGCATGCCACCCATACTTCCACCGACAACAGCGGCAATTTGTCTGACTCCAAGGTCGTCTAGCAACAATTTGAACAGCTTGACATCATCCCTTATCGTCGTCATTGGAAAATCCGGCCCGTAGCAACCTTTTTTGGGGTCACCATCGACTGCAGTCACCGGACTTGCTGAGCCGTATGGGCTCCCCAAGCAATTGATACAGATGACACAAAACCGGCTTGTGTCAAGCGCTACGCCGCCCTCGCTTTCTAAGAGCGGATTCCACCAGGATGCTAAATCGGCACTTCCCGTGAAAGCATGACAGACGAGGACAGCATTGTTTCGGTCGGGTGCCAATGTTCCGTACGTTTGGTAGGCGACGGGAACATTGAAAAGTGTCGCACCGCATTCAAGGGCGAATTCAGGAACGATGGCGATATGCTGATTCAAGACATACTTGACTAACGGATTCTCCACCTGATCACAAGATCTAATGCGTTCTGCCAGCTGTTAGCCGGGGGCACAAAGGGCGCGGACTCTGAAGAACGATGTACTATATCGGTAGACGGCATCTTGGTCAATAGGCCCCAATTTGCGTGCTGCACTCATGATTATTTGGCAAGGTCAAGATTTGGACTTGACCAGAGTTCACAGCGCTGTCTAGAGACAAGCCTGGGATAAGCGATGCTGGAATGTGAATCTCGAGTTATGCGCGTGAAGGCTGGTGCTTAGCTTTGGAGTTTACCTATCACTCGCTTTTCAGCCCCGCCATCTGCTTCGCAGATGGCGTGAATCGGAATGTTTTTGTTCGTTTGCATGACTGCAGAGGCACGACCTGCACTTTGTGCATGTCATTGGGCTGACAAGGTTTATCAGTCAGGGCCTGACTGTGCCGTACAAGCCCGGTTGCCGTTTTCGGACTAGGGCGAGCCACAGAAAATTGCCGTTTATGGCATGGTCTGGGTACACCAGGTTTAAGACGCTAACACTTCAAAGTCGAGGCTATCACCATTCAGATGCACAGATAAACGCATCGAGAACCGTCTAGGCACCATTTTCTACGTCCACATATTTGCAGATATCAGCCACCTCTAGTGCTGAGTAACGAGCTGAAAATGAAAATCTGTGTGGTTACGCCTAGCTCAGCTTCGGGTGCTGAAGCAAAAGTCCAGGTATTCGATCACACACAATGTATGTGCTATCAAGTAGGAAATATATTAACACTATGTAGCCGGACCTCGCCAGTTATATCAATGGAGAAGTGCACTCGGTGCAGACAAGGGAGATTAGGAAAGAGCATGCCATCGAAGATATAGACGAACTCGAGATCGGGAACTTCGATGTCTTCATCAACTATGTGGTAAGACGGAGACGTATTCTGGTCTTGATTTGCGGTCTAACGGTCATTGTGTTGATTTCATGCAGCAGCCAATCGATCAGGAGTGGATTACGGCATTGAAGTATCTGAATTCGAAATATCTATTTGGTATTGGTAGTCTGCCGGACGGTGCGTTGGACCTCTGCGCAGCAAATCTGGAGAGGGCGCAAATCTCCGATTATCAGGGCGATGAGCAGTCCCCGCCGACTGCGTCGTTACTACCAAATCAGTCTCAAGAATTTCAGGATGGCGACTATTCCATTCTGGTCGTGCTGTTTGGGCGAACCGCCTCCGCGTTAACACCCTTGAAATACCAAGCGGCAGGCAAAGACGGCCAAGAAGCCACGTGGGTCCTAGCACCCGAGTCAGACTTAAGCCGCCGACTGGAAGAGACCGCCGTGTCTGCATTTGAGCAGGTTCGCAATACCGAGTACCTTGGATACTTGACAGTTAATATTCGCGTGGCCGAGGCGTCAGATACCCTGATTGTCACCAGTGTGGATCCTACATCGCGCATCTTCTACCCTCAGGATGCGAGTCCATGGGATTCGTTGGTTATTTCGAAGACCCTACCGGGTGGGCATCCAGTCTTTTTGGAAATTCTCCTGTCTGCTAGACTTGCCAGGATCCCACATTACGTCATGCGAAATGAGGGCTGTGCAAGGCAGCATGATAGGCTTGCTCGTCTTTACTACACCATTCTCGACTCCACCAATGTCACAAATAACCGGTTGAGTCCATTTATTGGCAAGTACGACTATAACGGAACCGTTCTAGATTGTTGTTCAGGGAGTGGGGAGTTTGCTCGGTTTGCCATCGAACATGGGGTCGAGGCGAAATACTCCGCCCTGGACTATTCTGTAGAAATGACCAAGCTTCCATTCTCCAGGAGACTATACGAACAGCCTTTCATCATTGGGCCTATTCAAGAAGTCCTTGCCAGTGCCCCCATGCACGATCACGTAGTATGTTTCGGCTCGATGCATCTGTTGCAACCTTTTGACTTTATCTCTACGATTAGTCAGATGTTTTTGCGGGCCAGAAGATCTGTCACCTTCGACGTTGACGATTTGTCAGACACATATATCAACAACTTCCCGGATGCCAGTAGCGAGAAGTGCTGGGAGAAGCTCGAGTATAACCACAACCATACAGCGCGGGTCTTTCGCTTCGGGACACCAGTTGGCTGGAAGGCGGTTGTGTATGGCGAGAGACACTTTGCGTATAAATCGCTGGTGATGAAGGAAGACGTGTACACTCATTCATTCCGGTTCGAGCGGTTAGAGTGAGCGATTAGGCTCATCTCGCCATCGCCTCAACTAGGAGTTCTAGTTGTAGAGATCAAAAATTGTCATCCGAGCTCTGACAGTAAGATGAATCTAAAGATGACCTCGGCTATATACTATAGCTAGTTAGTAAATCCCATAGTTTACCTAGTACAACACCCTACTAAAAAACATGCCTACTCAATAAGGAAGCTTCTTAATACAACTTTGATATCATTGTTATAAGACTATATAGTGGACTACTATAATATCTATATAGAGCGTGACGTGCTAGTCTAATCTAGAAAGATCAATCTAATACGCTACATAGGCAATAGATATGAAAAGATTAAGTAATTACTGAGGTCTAAGAATAGCATCCTGCAATCTATGCTGCGCATAGGCCCTCATAATCTTATGGCCCCTAAGCTTAACTAAAATGATTTTCTATCATAGTTCTATACTAGTGGTTAGCTATATAGAAATCTAGCTATAGACTATTATATCTAATTTATTTATAATGAAGTACTTTATACTAAGTTCCGTGACTATAGTACTTTAGCCTTTACTTAGCTAAGCTATCACTAGTATTCTACATACGTAATACTAAAGGTTAGTTTAACAATAGAGAGAGATATAAAGTAGTTAAGCTATCTTCTAGTAAGCTTACTAAAAGTCGAGAATAATATAAATTCTCTTTACCTTGCTATATATATTCTTTATTGATTTGTATTACTTAGACTATAGATAACTTTTTTGAGATACTATCTATACAATTCTAATCTTATACTTTTAATAAAAACTTAAAAAGCTTTTTTATTATATATAACGTGTTTCATAAGCGAGCTGATCACCCAAGCGAGCTGATCGCTCCTCACCAGCGCGTCAACGTTAACACTACAACGCGTAATACCTCAACAACGCACTACTTAAATCTCCTATACTAAAGCAGATCTATAGCTTACTCTTTTTAATATCTAATTATAACGTGTTAAAAGCTAAAGACGTGCTGCCGCTATCTTTAACGTGCCTTAAAGTACTCTATCTACCCGACGTGCTAGAAAGCGCCACTAAGGTAACTATAAGCCGAATTTAAAGCGGCTAAGTAAACTAGAAGAGAAGGCAATAGTTTACTATATTCTTAAAGAGTCTGCGCGAGAATTTGCGCCTATAAAGGCTAATATTTAAGTAATAGCTAATAAACTATTATATAAGCGCGGGAGCAACCCTATTAGCAAGAACTAGATTAATAACTTTATTAAGAGGACTCCTAAGCTCCGCACGCGCTAGAGCCGTCCCTATAACTACTAGTAAGCCACCTGCGAGAACCTAGCCGCTATCTAGCGCTAGTTCAATCTAGTTAAGAGAATAAAGAAGAAGTAGAGTATTATAGACAAAGATATCTATAACTTTAATAAAACTAGCTTTATAATAAGTAAGATTTTATTATAGTTAGTTATTATAGGCTTAGAGAGTTCTAGTAAAAAGAAGCGTTTATGTAACGGCGCAGGCAAGACTACTCGGAT